TGCGGACGACCGTGGCTACTATTCAGGGCCCCGCGGCCGACGACGACGGCGTGCGCGCGCGAAGAAAAAACGAATGTGTCCCGCATGGTATTATTTGACAGGGATGATGGCCCTGGCAGGTGCGCAACCGTTGTCGCAGAAGTTCGAAAAAGTTGCTCGCAAAAGCCCGTTTGACAGAAATGTTTAAAAAGTGTTGGGTTTCCTACGAATCCGCAAGAGCGCGCGGGATGAGATTTTGACATTTTTTTGTTGAAAAACCATTGGTTTTTTGATGTTTTTATGTTAAAATCGCTCCGAACACTAAGCTTTTGGAAGGATTTCGTCTTGCGCGCGCGAATGTCCACTTTACCTTATTTTTTGCAAGGGATTCTTGAAATTTGATTATATTAGAACAAGAAATGTCATTTTATAGTGTTTTTTGCAAGGGAAAGCGGATTACAACAAAACAACCGGATCTGGATCACATCGTTTTACCTGAGGCTTCCTCACGAAAATGATGAAAATGTAGCTGCGGCCTAGGCGGCGCAGGGGGGGCGCGCACCAGGGGGCCCAACAATAATTATTCTTTAGAATAAATAATGTTCAACAACAACAACAACCACAACAACAGCAATGATGTCTGGGCCCTCCTCCTCCTCCTCCTCAACCTCAACCTCCTCCTCCTGCACCCTCCTTCCCAGACGTGCTCGCGTCGTGAAAAAAATACGAGGTTCGAGAATCGAAGATTGAACTTTGACTTTTCCAACCGTTTTGGGGTACTCCGGGTGCTCATCGAAAGTCTTCCCTCCCCCTTCTCCTCCTCGTCATCATCAGCATCGCCGTCATCATCATCAACAACATCATCCTCATCATCACCATCAATATCATCATCATCCTCATCATCACCACCATCACCATCAACATCATCATCAGCAGCAGCATAATCAGTATCATCATCATCGTCGCCGTCATCATCATCATCATCATCATCATCATCATCATCGTCATCGTCATCGTCATCAGCATCATTATCATCATCAGCAGCAGCATCATCAACCTTATCATCATGCCTCCCTGCTCCTTCTCCTTCGGGCCAGCTTGAGGGAGCCAGGAGCAGGGTTCCTCGACCAAAGGTGTACCCGTGCAGCCGACTCGAGTGTCAGCCGAGATGCACGACACATGTCCAGGGTGGGTTCAGACATCCGGCGCATGGTGCAGCACATAGGCAAGAGCGCGGTATCTCAGAAGCCGGACACTCAGCTGGCGAAGGCCGCAGTGATGACTGGTATCCCCTCCCTCTCCCTCCTTTCTGCCAATTCTTGACCGATGGCACAAGGAATAACAATCGATGGACGATCGACAGGGTGGTCCGAGAACAGCAGAAACGCAAACACGACATGCACATGTTCAGCGTCGCCGACGACTCTGGCCCAAAACTCAGGAGGAAGAAAGGGCGAGAAGGAAGAAGAGGAGCGCACGGACGAGGCTCCGTCCGATCTGCTGGGTCCGACCCACCCTGAAAGGCCCAGGTGTGTTTTTAGGACGGGCATGCCCTTCTGCAGGCGGATTTTGGACGAAAAATGAAAAATAGCCTCAAAATGTTCCAAGATACTCAAAAATGGTCAAACCATCGTCCCCAGACCATTGTTTGACTATTCTTGATTATTCCTCCTGTATCGGGGGCGCGCAAACATGGATTAGCGATCCATGGATTTGGCGCGCCGTCGACAAATCCATGGATCGGGGGAGGTGCCCTCCCCAAAATGCGGCTGGTGGGGCCTCGTTCGGCGGCGGCAATCAGCGATTCCCTCTGGAAGCGGGACCCGTCGCTAATCCACGACCCCTTAACCCATGTTTGAGATCGCCTGACTGTAGAGGGACATGCCCGACTTCAGGCTACTTCGGCTTTGCCGAGCTGTCGCATCCACCGATCGCGCCACCCACGCGCGGGAGCCGCCCGCTGCCGTCGGCACACGGAGCGCGGCGTGAGACGACGTCGTGCACGGGGCGCGGATTGAGCCGGCAAGCTGCAGTCATAAGCGCCACGGCAGGTTCGTAGCATGACGACCCCGGCGCTGGTCTCTGTCGGGGAGGAGGAAAGGGTACCCATACCTCCACCCCCTCGCCCGTTTTCCCCTTGGTGGGCCTCCTGGGAAGCCCTTGTCGCTACCGCTGGATTCGCCTCGAAGTCCTGGTCAGAACGCACCCCGGGAGAGGTCCAGGGGGTAGCGGTATCGGTGCCTTTTGGTTTCCCCACTGACACCTCGTGGTTCTTTCAACTCGGAGCTGGGCAAAGGCTGGCAAACCTGCGGCTGCTAAAACGGTTTTCCCGGCAGGAAAAAACACATTCCCGGGATAAAACTCAGCGCACTGAAGAATAATCAAGCTCTTCCCGGAAGAAAACATAAACAATTACCAGGAGCTTCGTTTTAGCAGTCACGGGTTTGCCAGCCTTCGCCTCGCTTCTCATCAACCTTGAACGATTGGCCTTTCTTGGACCGCCAGATCGTTCCCCATCGGCCGATTCTGGGACCTTAGCGGCGTTCAACTTTGAACGCCTGCGCTTGGGTCGCCGCCGCGTCGATACGGCATGAACCAGCCGTGCGTATTTCTTGTACGATAAGCACAAGGCCATCGTCCTCTTCACTGCCAAGGGACACACGTCGTTCATTTCTAATCGTGCTCATTTCTAATTGCACTCGTTTCTATTGATTCCTGGCCGTCCTGGCCCCGTAGTGGCCAGGAAGGGGCCCAGGATGGAACAATTAGAAATCAAAGGATCCTGGCCCCCAAAAAAATCAAAGAACTTTCGAAGAATTTGAAATGAGTAATGTGTACTTTTGTACGGTAAACACAAGGGCATCATCCTTGTCACTGCCAAGGGATGTGGGCAACTCGTATCGATGCGCTTGTCCTCCCGAGCCTCCTCCATCGTCCACCCTTCAAGCCTCGAATATCGGAGGTGAGGGGGTGAGATCGAAGTGGAACGGAGAGCCCCCTTACCGGGAAATCGATTTCGGTTTCGTGTTCGTGCGTGCCGTGCGTGCGGGCGAGGCGAAGCTGCGTGGGCGGGCGAGAGAAAGTCTCCTGTGGCTGAGGCGCGGCCGGACCAAATGTCTCCCTTCCGGGCGGCCGGGGCCCCGCGGTGTCCCGCCGGTGTCCCGCTGGTGTCCCGTGTGGCTGAGGCGCGGCCGGACCAAATGACTCCCTTCCGGGCGGCCGGGGGCCCGCGGTGTCCCGCCGGTGTCCCGTCGGTGTCCCGTGTGGCTGAGGCGCCGCCGGACCAAATGACTCCCTTCCGGGCGGCCGGGGGCCCGCGGTGTCCCGCCGGTGTCCCGCTGATGTCCCGTGTGGCTGAGGCGCGGCCGGACGAAATGATTCCCTTCCGGGCGGCCGGGGGCCCGCGGTGTCCCGCCGGTGTCCCGTCGGTGTCCCGATTCTGATGATGATATTGATGATGATGATGATGGTGATGATGATGACGATGTTGATGTTTTATTTTGATGATCGATAGTGAGATCGGTAGTGACATCGATTGTGAGATCGAACGTGAGATCGAATGTCAGATCGCTTGTGAGATCGATTGTGAGATCGATTGTGAGACCGAATGTGAGATCGATAATGAGATCGATAGTGAGATCGATTGCGAGACCGAATGGGATATCGATTGTGAGATCGATTGTGATATCGATAGTGAGATCGATAGTGAGACCGATTGTGAGATCGATTTGTGGAATGTATTGTGAGATCCATAGTCAGATCGACTGGATCGATTGAGTTAGTAGTGAGATCACTATCGGTAATGAGATCGATAGTGATTTCGATAGTGAGATCGATGATGAGACCGACTGTGAGATCGATTGTGAGTTCGGTTGTGATATCGATAGTGAGATCGATAGTGAGATCGATAATGAGATCGAAACTGAGTTCGATAGAGAGATCGATAGTGAGGCCGAATGCGAGATCGATTGTGACATCGATAGTGAGATCGATAGTGAGACCGAATGTGAGATCGATAATGAGATGGATAGTGAGTTTGATAGTGAGATCGGTAGTCTGATCGAGTGCGAGATCGATTGTGATATCGATTGTGAGATCAATAGCGAGACCGAATGTGAGTTCGATTGTGGGATCGATTGTGAGATTGATTGTGAGATCGATAGTCAGATCGATTGTGAGATCTATCGATTGAGATCGATTGTGAGATCGGCAGTGAGTTCGATAGTGAGATCGATCGAGTGCGACGTTGGTCCCTCCCCCCCCCTCACCTCCTTATCACCCGAAGGGTGGTCTATGCGGGTATCGCATCTCCTGTGCCCCATCACCTTCCTCCTCCCCATCATCATCCTGAGTCTCCGCCTTTCTCCTCTACTCCTCCCCCCCTCCTCGCGTCCTCCTCTCCCTCTTCCTCCTCTCCTTATTCCCCTCCCCTCCGATCCTTCACTCCGCAACTTTTTGCCGATCTTTCTCCTCCCTCGCTCCTCGCTCTCTTGCTCCCCTCTTCCTCCGTCCTCCCCCTCCTCTTCCTCCTTCTTCTCCTCCTCCTCCTCCTCCTCTTTTCCCCTCCGCCTCCTCCACGCCATCACTTTCCCCCCACCCTCCTGGCCCTCCGCATCTGGACGCCCGCTCGAGACATGCGACACCACGAGCGGCATGAGAAATCACGCGCAGCAGCAGACGAGCGCACCGCTGCTCCGAGCGCCCCCGACACGACGGTCTCGGCGCCGGGCGCCCCTCCACGCCACCACTCGGGCGCAAGTGTCGCCATCCAGATGGACTTGGAACTCGGAGGGCGCCCCCTCGATGAAGACGAAGACGAGACTGCGACTGGGACACAGACGGACCGGGGCAAATCGGAGACCTCCGAGATCCGGCGTTTCTGGAGGGCGTATCGGGCGCCGCGGCCGTCCCGGTGCGTCCCGGGGCGCTCTGCAACGATTCGTCCAGCCACAACCTAGCGTTCTCGCGTCCGCCTCCTCCCGCCCCCCGTCGGGGCCCCCTGCAGGCCCCTGGGGGCGCACTTGTCGGGGTCCCGGTGGACTTGGAACTCGATGGGCAGCCTCTCCTTCTCCTCCATGAAGATCCTGCCGAGGTCCCTGGCGGCATCCAGGGGGCGAGCACGGAGCGGAGCGCTGGCGCGCTGCGCCCGCCAGGACCGGACTTCGCCCCTTGGACGGCGGAGGGGCCACCGCCTCCTCCGCCTCCTCCTCCTCCTCCTCCTCCTCCTCCTCCTCGTTGGCCCTGCCTCCTCGGAGGCAGGCCGCCGTCCTAGCCCTAGTCCCCCTCCTCCTCGCCTGTCTGATCCCTCCTCCTCCTCCTCCTCCTCCTCCTCCTCCTCCTCCTCCTCCTCCCCCTTGGCTTCCTCCTCCTCGTCTTTCTTCTCCTCCTCCTCATCCTCCTCCTCTTCCTCCTCCTCCTCCTCCTCCTCCTCCTCCTCCTCCTCCTCCTCCTCCTCATCCCTTCAATCACTACCGACAACGGCTGCCCCCAGCTGCGTGCGTTCCTCGCGGTTCCGCCCTCATTCTCCGCCGCCTCTTCCTCCCCCTCCCTCCCAGAACTCCAGCATCACGATCTGTTCACAACGCGGGCCCCCGACACCCTCCCAGGGGACCAGTGCGTCATCCTGGGCAGCATCTTGACGGCCTCGGGGCCCTCACCGGCCGAGAACTGCCGTCGTGGCAGGGGCTGGGCGAGGGCACTCTCGCGGCGAAGGAGGGACGGAGATGTGGAAGGGAGATCCGCCAACGTGCTCCCTGGCACGTTGAGGCGTGGAAAAACCTGACCGGACAAAAACGGTCAGCGTCCTTTTGTGTCCTGGGCGAATGAGATACCCTACGTTCTTAGTGTGCGCTGCGCAAGTCTGTCCTGGCGTGCGTACGCTTGCGCGTGCGCGTGCGTGCGTGGAATATGTGCAAGTGTGTACGTGCGTGGTGGTCTGCGGTACTGTTATGCCGTGCGGCCATGCCGTTCTCCTGCGGTCTGCGTGAACGTATGTTGCCGCTCTGTGTGCGTGTGTATGCGTGTGTGTATGTGTCTGTGCGTGTGCGTGTGCCTATGTGCGTGTGCCTATGTGCGTGTGCCTATGTGCGTGTGCCTGTGGGCGCAGCTGTGGGTGCAGCTGTGTGGATAGATGTTCTATGTGTTCTGCCATGTTCCTGCGTGATATGCCGTGCTCCGTGTGCTGCCATGCTCCTGTTTGTTCAGCCGTGCTCCTGCTCTGCCAGGCTCATATGTGTTATGCCGTGCTCCTGTGTGTTAAACTTAAAGTTAAAGACGGGGCCTTGAAGGCGAAGTAGTGGGGCCAAAAGGCCAGGGACACGCACACCCGAGAGGGGCCGCCTAGGGCCGCCTCTCGCGGGGGCCTCGCAGGGCCACCCTCCCGAGAGGGGCCACCTTGGGCCGCCACTCAGCACCGAGCGGGGCCGCCTTGGGCCACCGCTCGCCGCGAACTCGACTGTGACAGAGCACAGGAGTCCCAACGCACAGGCAAACCGCAGACAGGGCCAGACGGGGCCCGCGCCCCGAAAGAAGCCGAATACAGGCGGGCACCAAGGGCGGCGGCAGCCTACTCGCAGGGAGCAGCCCGAGAGACGCCGCGCCCCAAGGGCACCGAGGGCGGCGGAAGCCTGCTCCCAGGCGGAGCAGCAGGCGCGAGCCGCAGCGATGCAACCTTTCACTCACCCACTCACGGACAGGCCGCCACGGCGCGCCACTCGGCGGCGTATTCTGCGGCCTTCCAGGGCTCCGCCTTTAGTGCCAGCCGCGGCGGCGAGCCCCTCCTCGACGACCCCGAACTCGCCGAGGTTCCCCGCTCTCACCGCAGCTGGGCGCCGCTTGTGCGGGCTGGCGGCGGCCGCGGCATCGGCCGCGCCCGAGGGGCCTCCTCCTGGGTCCGCAGCCACTCGCGGCTCCGCAGCTGCCGCTGGGGCGCTGCCTGCACTGCTCGCCGTGGCCGAGGGGTCTGCAACTGACCCCGCTGCCGTGCCAAGCCACTCCAGGTACCGCTTCTGCGCGCGCTCTGGCACTGGACCCTGCGAGCGCAGCGTAGGGATGCCCTCTCCTTTCACTCTGTGCCTGGCCGCTCGCGACCCCTCCTGCCCCCTGCCTCCAGGATGGGGCCCACGTAGCCACAGGCTGCGCTGGTTCCTGCCGCCCTTGTCGGACTTGTCGCCTGGGCACCGCTCCTTGAGGCGAGGCTTAGCCCCCGAGCGGCCGCTCAGCGTCATGTAGGCGCCACACTTGGAGCACGCCACGAGCTCCTGGGTGCCCTCACCTTCTCCAGCACAGGCGTAGGACAGGGCATGTCCCAGGATGCTGAAGGCTACCGCACTGGCCGAAAGGGCTGCCGAGCTGTTGCCTGTCGAGCGGGTGCTCTCCAGCCGTGGCCGCTCAGCCGACGGCCCCTCGCCCTTGGCCTCCTCCGCTGCCTGGGACCTCTCGGCGTCAGCGAAACGCTCCTGGCGCCGCTCGGCAGCGTGAGGGATCCCTTCGCCGCCCCTGGCCTCGACGCCTTGCCCGAGCAGATCCAGCGCCCGAGTTCCTGCACGAACCCCGCCTGCGCCTGGTGCACGCCAACGGTCGGCTTGTCCACTGCATGCACCTGGGCCCTCTTCAGGGCAAGGCGGTCGGCGCGCTCGATGTCTCGCCTCTGGGCCTCCGCCAGGCGCCCGCCGAGCACTGCATGCCTAGAACAGTCGATGCTGACCTCCTCCCCTGCTGGCCTAGCGAGAGCGGCGAGCATCCAGGCCTCCACGTCCTCGCCGTCCTTGGCCGTCCGCTGCGGGCAGCGGTCGCGCCCGTCTGCCTCGTAGACCTCTGCCACCAGGTTGCCGTCACCGTCGCGGTGCGCAATGGCTCCGCCCTCCCAGCGCAAGTCGCCGCACAGCGGCTCGAGCGTCGCGCCGTCGAGTTACAGCTTGCCGTTGAGCATCTCATCGAACGGCCTGCGGAAACAACGCACCCCCATGGCGTCGGTGCGGCGACCCTGCGGTGGCCTGTGCGCAGGCAGCCAGCTGCCTCTGCCGTGCCGCTGGGCCTCGTGCGTAGGACTGCCGTGCTGGCAGTGCCGCAAGGTGCCTCTCTCTGCTCCGCTGCAGCGTGCTTGCCCCTGTTCGTGTGCATCGAGGGGCCTGGCCTGCGTCCAGCGCGGGCTGGAGATGCAGGTCTCCAGCAGGTAGGTGCCGTGGCTGGGCTTCCGCATCTCGTGACGAAAGGATGCACTCCAAGCGCCTGGGCCAGCCTCCCCGCCCAGCTCCTGGGGCCCGCGGTGCAAGAGGTCGAGCTTGTCGCCGAGGTCCGCGACCATGCACTGCTCAGACGTGAAGTGCCAGTCGATCCACGCACGGGTCAGCTTCTCCGCCTCGAGGGGGGAGGCGCAATGCTTCCATGGCGCGTCAGTTTTTGCGTGCCTGGTCTCAGTCGCCTCCAGCCCCCGCTCCATCAGCAAAGGCGGCAGCTCTCCTGCCTGCAGCAGGCCCGCCATCACCTGGACTGCGTGGCCTGCCCTGAGAGCTGCAGGGTCCAGGTTGCGCCTCCTCCTGAGCTCGCCATAGCGCATGCGCAGCCCTCGCTCTGCGCCCATGGGGAGCGCTCCTGCGCTGCGACAGGCCGCAGGCCTCCAACCATGCAGCTCGCCGTCCGCGTTGTCCGTGACCGTGCGCTCGCTCCCCCTGCTGGCCGCGGGCCCAGCCTTGTGGATCGGGTCCAGCCTGCGCGCTCGGCGAAGCGCTCCTGCAGCTCGGACTCTGCCCTCATGTGCTCCCCGCCTCGCGCTGGCGGGGACCGAACCTAGGTTCCTGGCCAGTGAGGTCACGCAGAGGGTCCAGCCTAGCGACTTCCCGCACGCCCCGAGCTGGCGTCCTGGGCTGGGGCTCGGAGCGAGGCAAGACGCCTTGGCAGCACTGAGGGGCAGGTGCTGACCGCGGAGGCGGCGCACAACTTCCAGCCCCGCTCTGCCGAACCACGCGGCCACCAGCTGCTCCGCGCCCACGGCCTGCAGCGCGATGTCGCCGTCGACGTAGCGAGCCTCACCCAGCAGCTTGCCGCCCACTGGGGCGGCGCGGAGGGCTGTCAGCCCAGGCGGCTTGGCTACAGTGAGGCTACTCGCACACACTGCCAGACCTGTCCCGTTAGTGCTGAGCGTCTCGGTGGCCAGGCCCACGACGGAAATGAACCGCGGTCCCTGGTAGAGCAGCTGGCCCTCCTTGTCCGTGGGCGCCGACGCGTGGAGGAACGCCGTAGAGCCCATGCGCCGCTCTGCTCCTCTGACCTCCCCCAGGCGGTGCGGAGCCAGGTGGGTCGCCTGGAGCCCTACAAGGCGCGGCGGGGCCCCGCTGCGTGAGCCCGAGGCCTCGGCCCCAGCCAGGCTCCACCTCCATGCGTTGCGTTGACCCCGAACTCCTCCAGCCCGCAGCGGACATCCTGAGCTGCCGTCCCAGCCTGGCCCGGCGCCGGCGGGGCCTGCGCACTCCCGAGGTCGAGGGGCCGCGTGCCTCCGAAGCGGGCCGCTTCAGCGCCGCCGCCCTCCAGCTGCCTATGCAAAGCGCCTCTGGCGTGGCTACGCGCAAGACAGCCGTGGCCTCTCGCCTCCGCCGCAACTCCCAGCGGCGCGGCGAGCAGGGCGAGCAGCAAGAGGGGCCAGGTCCTCAGCCTCGGCCGCCAGCTCCCGCTTGCACGCCTGGGCGACCTTCGGCCACTCACCGTGGGCGTCGCCGCGTCGTTCGGCCTGCCCACGCCACCTCGAAGTTGCTGGAGCCCCAGGCCTCGGGCAGCTTGTCCAGCTGCATGAGGAGCCCTGGGACCTGGCTGGCCCCTGCCCACTCGGCTGCGCGCTGGCGCAGCTGCGCCGCGGCCTCCGCTCTGGCCTCCCCCTCGAGGGCGTGGGGCGTACGGCTGGCCTCCTCCACCTCCGCATCGAGCTGCGCCGGCTCTTCCTGGGCCTTCTGCAGCTGGGCCTCAACGAGTCCGCGAGCCTCTTGCTTCTGCTCCAGGCTCTGGCGCGCTGCTCGGAGGCGCTTCTCCG